TTACGTCCTGAGAGTTCATTTCTTATGGCTCAGCTTTCTTGCAGACTCTATAGTCTATTATCTGCAAAGCTTTTAGCAGACAGTAGTTTCTCTTTCGTTTTGCACCGATGGTATTTCAACAAGTCCTGACAGGACAGGGAAGAAGAATGGATCCCGGGCTTTTCAAGCTCTGGCCTAACCTCTAAAGCCCAGCCTCACAAGGGTCAGGTCATGGGGCAGCTCTTCATCCAGGACCATATTATCTCTGGGCTGCTTTAGATCCCCCAGCTTTCTTTCAGCCATGACAGATGGCTTAGAAAGGACAAATAACTGGGGCACCTGGGTGGCTCAGTCGGTTGAATCCCCAACTCTTGATTTCGGCTCAGGTCACGATCCTGGAGGTTGTGGGATCCAGCCCCACATCCAGCTCCGTGCTGAGTGCAGAGCCTGCTTAAGATCTTTCTCTGTGCCCCTCTCCTCCACTTGTGCTCTCTCTCTAAAATAAAAAAGGAATTTTTTTAAGGCAAACGTTTAAAAGGGAAACAGAACAAACAACCCAGAGCAACTCCACAGCAGAGAAGATTTTGTGTCGCTGCCCACCTCTCTGACCCAAGGAAAGCCTATTCCTACACAGAATGTTTTCCAAAGTTTTCAATGACGTGGCAACAGATTCCCTGTCCCCGCCCCCAAGTCGTCATTGGTGCAGCCAGCCTTACTGGCCGTCACAGCTCTGATGGCTGGCCGTTGCGTCATGCCCTCTGAAAGTGGAGGGTCCGTCCCTGATCTCCTGTTGGAGAATAATCATACTCTGAACGAGTTCCCGGGAGATTCCACCTGTAACAAGCCTACCCCATTCACTTTAGCTTGTTCTTAGGGAAAGGGGTGAGGGAAGGCGGGTCTTTCAGGCAAAACCAAAACCACTCAGAATTAATACCAACTATTAATACCCACGGCGGCTTGGGTTTTTGTTACAAATAGAACTTTTGACATTTCTTTATTAACAAACTATGGAACATCATGGCTGCTTTTTGTCATTGTTCCAGAGTCAGCATTGGCTCCCCCCACTCCGGGTCCCCAATACCCATAATTGTGTGGAGCAGCATGGAGGTGTTACAGAGGAGGGGATGGATTTGAGGAAAGGAAGTTCCAGATTGCTCAGCGTCAAGACTGTGGGGGTGGCAGCTGAGAAAGGGAAGCTGCGACACATCCCGAGATGGCAAGTGCAGAGGGGGTAGCCCTGGCTAAGGTGTGTGCACAAGTGCGGCTCCTCCGGCCACAGGACGGCTGTGCAGCCCTGACGCAGGTACGCGAGGGGAGCCTCGTTATCAGCGCTGAGCAGTTGCCAAAACGCACAGAAGTTCAGAGAGGTTGATAGTTAACTCAAGGTCACACTTCAGTTCTGCTTCTCTGTTTATAAGCCTTCATTAAGCTCCTACGTCTTTACAGGAAAACCCCAAACTTCCTTCTAGGGCCTTCCACACTGTGTCTTCCCAGCCCTATTTCACGCCTGCTGCCATTTGCACCAGAACCTGGGTTATGAGAACCGCCTGGGCCTCCCTGAGTGTGAACATGACAACCTTCACTTTGCATCTGCTGAGGTCTCCAGTGCCTTTAGGACTACCTGGCAAAGGTCTGCTCACAGCTTCAGTTCTGCTCGGGTATGGACTCCTCTCCTAAGGTACTCCCCCCACCCTCCTCCTGAGTTGGGGCTGCATCTTCAAAGCTTCTATAGCACGCTGTGTTTCATCCACCACACGCTGCAATTCGCAGTGAACACAACTCTGGTCGTTTCCAGACTGGCACTCTTCAGTGGCTTCCCATTGACCATAGAATATGATGCAGAGCCTGGCATCTGATTGACCGCCCTCTTGCTGTGAACCACTACCCCAACCTCTTCTTCTGGAACACTACTGCCCAGTTTGGTAGCTACCAGCCCCATGTGGCTATGAATTCAAATTTAAATAGAAGGAAGTATTCTTCACTTTCTATCTAGAACCATAATCCCTGATAGAGGCTCCTTTCCCATGAATATAGCTCAGGCCATGTTTCAATAATAATAATGTTCTTCCCTTTGTCTCTTCAGGCCTACCTAGGGTAGGTAATTGCTGGTCCCTGTAAGTTTGACTATCCTTCATCGGTTCTCTTATCTCTGCACATTTCAGCGGGAAGTCCTCCCTTAATACTCTGTTTAGTTAACTCGTTGAGTGTGTCATCTGTTTCCCTCTGGAATCCTGAAAAAGATAGCATCAAATTATGCTCCATCTTTGGGATCTACCTGTCCCCCAACTTAATGCAGCCATTGGTTTTGTTGGCAAGATACCATAGACCAAGAGTTGGCAGATTCCAGATGGGAGAGACAATGTAGATCCATCCACTGCCTGTTTTTGTCAGTAAAATTTTATTGGGCCTCAGCCATGCTACAGCGGCAACGATGAGTAGTTGTGACAAAGGCTAAAATAAAACTGTATGGCCCTTTACAGAATGTTATATACCTCCTCTAGACTTATCTCATACTGGAATTACTCTTTGTATCCACAAGCTTATGAAAGGCACCCAGCCTTGGCACATGATGAGCTCGTTCCTGTCTCCAGTGCTGTTCAGCAAACATTTCACTGAGTACACAAGAGTGTGTAGCTCAGACCACAGGGAATGGCATCAGACAGACCTCGAATCAAGTCTCAGCTCTGACATCTACTGAGTGACCGTGGACAGATTTTTAGAATTCTCTAAACTGACCCTAATTTCTTAATCTATAAAAAGCGAATCATAATACTATCTTTTTCTCTCCTAGACTTGTGACGAGAAATGAATAAGACGATATGATGTAAAATGCTTAACCCAGGACCTGGTGCATCGTGAATGCTTCAAAACTGTTAGCCACTGTGCACCAGGTTCTGTGCTAGGAAAGGTGGGAAGATAAAGACATTAAAGATATAGTCTTGTGGGGCGCCTGGGTGGCTCAGTTGGTGAAGCGTCTGACTTCGGCTCCGGTCATGATCTCACGGTTTGTGGGTTTGAGCTCCGCGTCGGGCTCTGTGCTGACAGCTCAGAGCCTGGAGCCTGCTTCAGATTCTGTATCTCCCACTCTCTCTGACCCTCCCCTGCTCACGCTATGTCTCTCTCTCTCTCTCTCTCCTAGAAATAAATAAAGCATTTATTTCTAGGAGAGAGAGAGAGAGAAAGAGAGAGAGAGAGAGAGAGAGAGAGAGAGAGACAGCCTGAGCAGTCCCAGGTCTGCCCTTTCTAGTACCAGCTGGGCAAACTGCAGAATCCCATGCTTGGGAGAATGGCCTTCATTAATGTCACTGGCCTGTTCTCATCCTATCAGGTGGTAGAAGGTCCCTGCTCCGTTAAAGGTGATTTGTGCCCTATTTGGAAGTTATTATTTCAAGACCACCAACATCCATTGGTTCGAGTAGAAAGACACAGCTCCTCTGGAATGTTTCTTACCTTCTGTTGACCTGGGACCCTGTGATTCATCTGCTGCGCAGCTTTCAGACCAGCATATCATCAAAAAAGATCTCTGCATACTTATTGGCATTCCATAGGAATCTTAGTGACAACACGGAGCTGATGGAAGGGTCTTATGCATCATGAATATGAATATCATCATTCAAATTGCTCTGGTGGATGTCGAAGATAAAAGGAAATGTTTTATTTTGTGTTCATTAAGCACTAGAGGGTATGTTTCCCCTGGATGCCAACTCATTATATCTGTAATGGTTAATGGGAGTTAAGTTCCAACATCACATCAAGGGGGGAAAACGATCCCTCAAGTATTTGGAAACTCCTTCTTCCAAATTACAGATCAAAGCTGGGTTATGAACTTCTAGGCTGTTTTACTAATGGATTTGACTAACTGTATTCTTTGCAGCTTTCTCCCCTTCAAACACTAACTTTCCCTAAGTAGAGATGATTATGAAATTTTGTAAGCATGAGATATTATGAGGTCTATCAGAGTCAGGTCCCCCTGAGAGGCCTCCCCCCACCCAGGGGAGAAAAACTAAGACTGAATAAATGAGCTAAGTATCAGGGACTTCGCTTATGCGCCTCTCACTTCCATTTCACGAAGCCCCAATGAGATGCTTCTGTTTCATATATGAGGAAACTGAGGCCCGTGAGGTGATGTAACCTACCCAAAGTGCATGGCTTACAGAAGAATGAGGCCACATGCTCCATGATACCCAGTTTAAAAATACATTCTAGAGGGGTGCCTGGGTGGCTCAGTTGGTTAAACCCAGGACTTCGGCTCAGGTCGTGATTTCGTGGTTCCTGAGTTCGAGCCCCGCATCCGGCTCTGTGTTGACAGCTCAGAGCCTGGAGCCTGCTTTGGATTGTGTCTCCCTCTCTCTCTGCCCCTCCCCTACTCACACTCTGTCTCTCAAGAATAAATAAATGTTAAAAAATTTTTTTAAAAAACACATTCTAGGGGAACCTGGGTGGCTCAGTCACAGATAAGCATTCGACTCTTGGTTTTTGCCCAGGTCATGATCTCACAGTTTCGTGAGTTCGAGTCTGATGTCAGGCTCCACGCTGGCCGCGCAGAGCCTGCTTAGGATTCTGTCTCTTCTCTCTCTGCCTCTCCTCCACTCGCACTGCCTCTGTCTCTCTAAAATAAATAAAAAAAATAAACTGAAAATAAAATTAAGAAAATAAAAAATAAAAGCATTCTAATCTCCTTTTTGGGGCCATCTCCCCAGTCCCTGGCACGTTCCTACTCCACAAGCGTTATCCAAGGTTGACCTGGGCAAATCACGTGAGAGAAACGCGAGCTAACAAAATTGCCAGAGAGGTGTGACCGACCCGTAGGAACGCATGCAAGCTGTCTGCGCATGCGTTTTCTCTCCTTCGCTAAACTTGCCAGTGAGAGATGCGTTTAGTCCCAGGTCACGGCGGTGAGCGGCTAGGAAGGCGCCCTCTCTGTGACCGGGGAGAGGAAAGAGCATGGGCAGAAAGGACAGGGTGTGGCGAAGACAAGACTAACTGCTGTGTCTTGCCCTCCGCAGGCTCCTGGGACCGGACCTTCCTCCATGTGTCCCGTCTCACTCAGGAGGAACCTTCCAGTGACTTCCAGAAGGAGAGAAACCCCGGAAAGCTCAGGCCCCAGGCAGGTTTTCATACCGGTGAAGACAAAGTGTCTCTGCTGTGAGGTGAAACCTGCTCTCTTGTTACTGAAGATAAAGGAGAAAATGAATCCCTTCCCTTTGTATCCCATCTTCCTGTGACTGCTTCCGGGCTCGAAATAGAACGGGGCCCAGCTTTGTAATCTTCCTCCCAGGACCCGTTTTCCGGGTCAGGGTAATAATTGGTGGTGTTCTCCTTTGTGTTCCCTTTGTATGATCCTGTCAGGGGTGAAATGTGGGACCCAGGAGGACAGGGAAATGGATCTGCTAACCAACACTTGGAGTTACGGACGACCCTGCTGAGACCCCACCTGGAAAGCTGTGCTCATCTCTGAGCCTCTAATGACCAGCCAGGTACAGACAAATGGGGTGAACGTTGGGGGAAAAGCGACCAGAGTGATGCAAGGGGAGAGCTGGATTTATGAAGAAAGATTAAAAGAGCTGAATACATAGAGCTCAGTAAATGATGTTCTTGGGGAACTTGGGGACCATCTACTTACACCTGAAGGTTGTAAACAGTCAGCAGAGCAAGAATTATTTTGGTTAGATCTAAGAAATATCACAGAGAGTAATGAAAAGAAATATATAATAAAAATGGACTGTAATTTTATACCCATTCCCATCCCAAGAAACCTCAAACCATTTTACGGCTTAGGATAATATACGCACCACGGTGGGGTGTATTCAGACTGTAAAGAGGCTTGTAATTTTGCTAAAGCCCTGGCAAAAATAATATTTAGTGAGAGGGTAATGGGCACTTTGTGTATTAAGAGCGCGGCCCTGGCTTGGCTTTGCCAGTAGTGTAGATGGGGAGCAGGACGGCTTTCTAGAAGTTAGGCCACTTACGAAGCTCCCTGTGGCCGTGCTCAGTGGCACACACAATTCGACTCCCATTAAAAAAAAAAAAAAAAAAAAAAAAGTAGAAGGATCTTCACGGTCAGAGAAATATGGGTCTCGGAAAACCGTAGAAGGCTGCTACAGCTCACTTCTTACCAAGTCTCAGGTTGTCAGCTACCTGATGGAGTCACACGGCAGCAGACTTTGTCCATCGTCACCTGCCCCTGTCCAGACTGGGAAAGCCTGAGGAGAGGGGTGTGATCTCCGTGTCTGTCTGGACCTCACCTTCGCAGTCCCTCTTTTAGGGGACAATCTTTGTCTCTTTTCTGACTGGGATACTGAGCAATGGTGAGCTTTTGTATTTTGCGGTTCTCTCTGCTTAGGATGCCACTTTCTCAAATGCCCACGTGGCTGGCATGGCTCACTTCCTCATTCATTCAGGTGTCTGCTCAAATGCCAAGTTCTTAGACGGCATCTGGCTGCCCTAAAATAGCAGCACCCTCCCCCATTTATCAACCTCCAGTCTCTAATACCTGAGCTATTGTTATATTATATTATATTATATTATATTATATTATATTATATTATATTAATTATATTATATATTATATTATATTATATTTTCTGTCACCTCTGACTAGAATGTAAACTGCTTATTTATTTTTATGTAAGGTGCTTAAAGACAGGGACTTAGCTGCTCTGTTTACTCCCAGCAACTGGATCACTTCCTGGCCACCCACAGCATCTCCTCAGAAAATTTTACCAAAGTGAGGTTGGTGCCTTGGTCATCTCAGAATAAGGGAACCTCATAAACTGCACGCGTAGTTTATGTCTGCAGCATGTTTTTAATCTCTTAAAATTCTTACCCTTTCAATAGTCCTATGAGATTTAATAGCGGTCTTCTCCCCAATTTACAGGTAGGAAAACTGAGGCACAAAATTACAACCTGAGAAAACTTTACATTGCAGGAGCTCCGTGTAAACCCAGAGCTCCTGAATTTTCAGACCATTCTTGGGGCCCTTGAGTACCTCCTGCCAGAGTCCAGTTTTACATCTATAAATTCCTTGCCTCCTATATTGCATAAACTTTCAGAAAGTTGTCAAGGGATTGCAAAGAAGCTCTTCACGTAGAATTGGAGAAGTATAGAAAGCAATGGTCTTATTCTAGGGAAATCTGTAAACCCAGGCCAACTTCCCTCTACTGCTAATTACAGGTTCCTGAAATCTCTGGTACAGGTTATTTGTACACTATGTAATTCAACTGGTTGTGCGCTTTGCTACTGCAAGTAGCTGAGAGAGCCGAAGAGGTGCTTTGCTGCTTTCCATCTGGTTAGGATTCTTAATGGCTGCACACATGGCTCGTAATGTGTTCTCCGACCCAGGTTTTCTTTTTTCTTTCTTTTAAAAAAAAAATTTTTTTTTTAAATTTATTTCTGAGAGAGAGAGAAGCATGACCAGGGGAGGGTCAGAGAGAGAGGGAGACACAGAATCTGAAGCAAGCTCCGGGCTCTGAGCTAGCTGTCAACACAGAGCCCGACGCGGGGCTCGAACCCACGAACTGTGAGATCATGACCTGAGCCAAAGTCGGATGCTTAACCGACTGAGCCACCCAGGTGTCCCCCGACCCACATCTTCAAAGATTGTCCTCAACTTGCAATTGCTGGTTCATCAGGAGGATTTGGAGCTTTCTTCCCTTGAGTCCTGTGTCGGCGTGTGTCGGCATCATTTTGGTTTTGTCATGAATACCAGGTCACCAACATGCTGGGGAGCCATCTGGGCCCGAAGGAGGCAGGCCCAGTCCTTGGCGGAGCCTCACAAGAGACTCATTGGAGCTTTGAGAAGCGGAGTCACAAGTGACAACTGTTGGTGCCTTGGGGAATGGGGCTGTCACATGGTACTCACTGTGTGGGAAGCCTCTGAAACCCCTTTTTCCCTTCGCAAGGATTTTGGGGGTGATCGCCTGGCCAAGGGCCATCCAGGGTGGACTGGCTGCGGACACAAGACTTCCATATTGTGAGGCTTCATGACAGAGAGGATATTTGGACCTGGCTTTTCCTCTCCCGTCTCCTGAATGGTGCCTTGTGTAGCCAGAGTGTTGATGCCTGGCTTTGTTTTTGTGGGCTTCCCTCTGCCCAGCTGCTCAGCAAGTAAGCTCACACCTCTTGGCTCTCCTTATGAGGGGCAGAGGAAGGATAAAAGAACAAAGATTCTGGGGCCCACTGACTTCCCTTAATTCTTCTCTCTGAGACACGACACCCCATCTCCTGATAGACCCAGATGTCCCTTGGGAAGGTCAAATTAGATAACGCTGTAAGAACACATAAAGCCAGGTCCCAGTGAAGAAGTACCTTTTTTTTTTTGAAAGAAAGTGTTAATAGAGCCACTCCAGATGCTCTGCAGACTTTCCAGACTAGGTGGGTAATGATTAAGCGGTTCCTCTTCTTTTTTTTAATGAAAGATTTTTCCCCCTTTCTTTTTAGTCTGTCATCTTGCAGTGAGAAGAATTCATTAACTGGGTGAACAAAGGGAGCCCATTTAGGCAATGTGCTTTTAGAAAGGAAGGAATTAGGTTCATTTGCAATTTGAGTCTATGTTTTGTAGGGGGGAAAATTACACACATTTATTTTGGCTCCCAAAATGGTGAATGGCAGCGTTGAATGCACAGTTGTTCAGTGTGATATGGGTACTCCAACTGACCGCTCAGGGCCAGTATTGACCTAGACCATAATGTCCTCAAAATGTGAATTCCCTCCTTTTGCAGAGAAATCCTATCTGACTTGCATGTCAGAGATCACGCTCATTCTTCCATTCTGAACACACCTGGGACATAAATACATCCAGGGATGGAAATGACAGGGTATGTATGGCGTTTTGAGCGATGCATGAATTGATGTTTTTAATTGAGCTCCTCGTGTGTGATTTGTTTCTGTGGAAGTGATTCTCTTAAGTGATTCTTCATCAAGCCTTAATTTATGAATGTGTAAGTTGGTCTAAAGGGTTAACAGGCTTTAACTTTAAGGTTAAACACTGCAGAAAGGGAAACTGTGGAGTTACAGGCGAGGTAGATGTTTGGAATCAGACGTACCTGGCTTTAAATCTGCTTCTTATTAGGTATTGTGACCTCACGCAAGTTGTTTAAAACCCTGAAGCTTCAGTTTCTTCATCTATAAAAGGGAATAATAGCACCTCGCTATTGTTTTTTTTAAATATATTTTTATTTATTTCTAGGAGAGAGAGAGAGACAGTGTGAGCAGGGGAGGGTCAGAGAGAGGGAGACACAGACTCTGAAATAGGCTCCAGGCTCTGAGCTGGCAGTCAACACAGAGCCCGACGCGGGGCTTGAACCCACGAACTGCGAGATCATGACCTAAGCGAAAGTCGGACGCTTAACCGACTAAGCCACCCAGGCGCCCCAGCACCTCGCTATTGTAACAAGAATTCAGCAGAGTCACATATGTTAAGCTCCTGGCACATGGACTGCACTCATTGAACTTCAATCTCTCTTTACCTTCCATCCACCTTGAAGCACATCTGATTAAGGGCAGAGTCAAGGTTAGTGAAGGAGGCTCTGTTAATGTACGAGAGAGCTGTTGCTAAGTACGCGTCCAGACACCCGCTCTCACGGTGGTCAGATCGCCCCCAGAGCCACGTGAGGTTTGGGGCTGCATGAGGGGCTCTGGGCAGCTGCTCACAGCACACCAACTTTGTTTTGAATCCAGATTCTTTAATGCCTTGTTCCTCTTTGGAGACGTGGTGTGACCTTGGAGAAATCAGCGTGGCCTGGGAGTGTGGAGCTGATGACCAGTGTGGCACTGCCAAACAGGCGTCTCTTCCGTGCTTTCTTCCCGGGTGGGGAATGTGCAAGCTTTCCTGGGTTCCCAGGGAGAGATGCGGGGCGCTCCACTGCGTTCCTGAAACTTCTGCAGAAATCCCTGCCCTCGCAGTGATGGTGGGGAGTGACCAGAGGCTCTGTGCAGCCCGTGACATGCCTGCCACACACAATCTCAGCGTGACTGGTGACCCTGCTTGCCTCCCAGAGTGAACTATACTTATCCCCCATGCTTTGGAAGGACACATGCCCGTTCTGTCTTGCAGCACAGTTCGAACACCTTGCCTTCCACCCTCTCCTACCTTCTCCTCCATCTTTTCAGATTCGCCTGGAGGTGTTCTCTTTAAAATCCAGTTTTGTTTAATGCACATGGGAAAAATCACTTCCCTCGAGCTCACGACCTCCACAGTCCTCAGAAATGCCGACAAATACCTGGGATGGCTCAAAACAACTGAGGAGGCTCCAAGAGCAGCTACCCAGTAGTGGGGGGGGGGTGGGGTGTGCTGGGGGTGGTGTGGGAGAGGGAAGGAGAGTGAGAGCCCGGAGGCTGGGAGAGGGTGAGGGGGATCATGGAATGCAGGGAGGTGGGGTTGTGGATGAGAGGTGGCTTAGGGGAGGGAGAGGTGTCATGATCCTGGGTGGGGAGCCCAGCTTTCCTTCAATTGTGTAACACAACTCTCTCTACCTCCTCGAGACTTTCAGGAAAGGCATATATTACCTTTCAAAACGTTGTATTTGTCTTTGTTTTTTGAATGCAGCCCTGCTGAGACTTGCCTTCAACCAAACAGCCCAGCTAAATTCAGGGGCCGGGAGTCGTCATTACGTATTCGATGGGCCCTGCACACCGGTTACACTGGCTGAACATTTCACATTCATTTCCTCGCCTATCCTTTGCCACAATCTTACATTTAGCCCCATTTCACAGAGTAAGAAACCAAGGCTTAGCAGGATTTAAAAGAAAAATTAAACAACAAATATTTCTTTCTCATAGTTCTACAGGCTGGGGAGGCCAAGATCAAGGTAGCAGCAAATTCAGTGAAGTCACACAGCTGGGAAGTGGTTGGTTAGAAGCTCGGGTGGGTTGGGCTCCAGAGTCCAGGCTCTCCCCCTCTTCCCTGCTCTCTCCCTTCTCTGTCATAGGATGTGCTGTGTTTTTGGAAGGCAGCCCTGCTCACCAAAAACGCTGTGCTGTGTCTTTGGACATCTCCCTAGCACTGGGCACAGCACAGAGTGGGTGCTCAGGATGTTTGTGGAGCAAGTGAATTGTTGGTGTAGCATCTACCCAGTTAATTCATGCAGTGCACCTGGGTGGAGCGAGATGGCAAGAATCAATCTTCTTTGGCTTTTAAATTCCGAAGGCTTCATAGGAATACATGTCTGGGTTCATAGTTACCCTCTCGAGTGAAGAATTCCACTGTTGAATTATTTCTTGGGAGACCTTCAGTGGCTCAGGGAAATGCCCATGCACTCAACACTTGGTAAGACGAACGTGGACAAAGAAAATCATCAGATCAGCAAATCCAAGTGTGGGTAGAGATGCCTGATTGTTATTCGGGGTCAGAAATGAAAGGACATCAGGTTCCTAGATTGAATATGTGGCCCAGAGCAGGCTTCAGATATATTTTTGATGGATTTTCAAGAAGGTATCTCACTTCATCAACAAAGTAGGGACAACAGAAACCATAGGTGGGGAAAACTTTACTCAGCCTTCTGAAGTCAGAGGGCAGAGTCTGGGAGAGACAAATGGAAACTCGGCACTGGAAGGAATTTTGAAGAGTCATCTAATCTGTACCCCTAAATCATCTGAAGCAGGTTCATTTTATTTTGAAAGACCCCCAGGGAAAGACACTCAAAAACCTCTTTTTTGGTGGAGCCATTACTGTGTTAACGGCTCTCACTCGCTGGAAATTTAATCCCCCTAATTTATCACCTGCCACAGCAAATGCAAGCTGATGGAGTCTATCTATTTTTCTAAGGATTTACGTCCCTCCCTGCTTTCCAAATGGGTGTGAGGCAACCCGCTGACGGAGTGGGCTCAGAGTTTTGGGAAAAGAGAATGTAAAAGAGCTGAGTGCTATGTGATATGCGGCCCTAAAGAAAGACCAAGGTGGGCTTCCGCAGGTGAAAATCCCGGCTGGACTCGGCCTCATCGGAACGAGCCAAGTGGCAGTGAGCAGAGAGAGAGACCAAGGGGCACAGTGAGAGAACCGTTTACAAGTTCCTTGAAACAGTCTAGAGAAAGAAAAAAGTGGCATAAAGTCAATGCTGACACAGTTGAAGGTTTGAGGATAGGCCAGTAGCGCCTTAGTGTGTACAAGCTGGGTCACAGAGGGTCCTCCGTGGCGTATGTGACTATGTGGGGAAGCTCACGTGAAATCCACCGCTCTTCTGGAGCTGATGGAGACATGACCTACAAAGACGCAAATTCCAGTGGTGGCGGGAAGACCCACTGAGAGAGGAAAGACTTGTGTTTCTCGTAGTGGCGGAAGTTAGGAGGACCCTGGCCACCGGAAGGG